TTATATATAATATATATATTCCTCCCCAGTTAACAGTCTTTCATCTTAGGTACGAGGACCAAACCCAAGATACAACCTTCCCCTCACTTCCCACCAAGCAGGACCCAAAGTAACTCCTCTTGCACTGAGTCCACTGGGGAGCAGGAAGGCTAGTGCAGCAGCTGTCAGGAACAAAGGCACAGGCAGAGCTGGGGTGAACTGAGTCGAGGGAGACAGGCTGCCGCCACTGGCCAAGTGAGTCACGGGCCCTGCCCCACCCCACCGAGCAGGGAAGGTTCCCGATCACCCTCAGGTTCTCCCATCCCTTACAGTTACATCTTTTAAAGGCACATCCAGAAATGGTGCAACTGGGGGCAGAGTAAGCTGTACACAGTTGCTGTGTAGAGGTTAAGGGGCTGGGGGCTCGTGGCACAGAGCAATGAGGGTGTCCTTGCCATTGCCCTCATCTTGGGGAGCGGGAGCTGGGGGAGCTCCTGGAATCCCACCTGCTTCTGTGGTCAGTAGGGCATGTACTTAACAAGGTCTTTGGTGCTCGTGTAGCAGCATCTCTTATCCACAAAGGCTTCCACAGCCAGCAAGGCCGGGAAAGTAAGTTCCTGTACGTGGCCGCCGGCTGGTCCCCTTCCAGCGCCGACCACCTGATGCACAGGGCACAAAGCACGGGTCAGTCTGCACCACGGTGAACAGTTTTAGAAAGGATCTCCTGGACAGTTAGGCCTCGGAAGGTTAGTTTTCCTCCGCAGTTCTCCTGAGGAACATGAAAAACTCAGCCCATGATCCCTACCCAATCGTTCTGCCTGTTGGTTTCCTCACAGACAAGCAAAGGGGCTCTGTGGGCCCCAGCACACAGCAGGGGCACAGGTTCAGAGGGCTGCGAGAGCCACCCACCTCACAGGCCTCTGGGCTCCAGGACCAGCCAGTTCTCTGTCACCGTCTGCATGTCTTGGCCGCTCAGTGGCTCCCGCAGCCTCGCCTTCACCTCCAGCTTCCCCCCAGTGGGCTTCCTTCCATCTAGGACCTGTGAGAACAGTGGGAGGGCGATGGAAAATGCGGACTGGCTGGGGGCAGGCAGGGCCCTAAGGTCCCAGGGAAGAGAAGCCAAGACGCCCTGCAGTATTAACATGGAGTGTGCATCTCAGGAGAGCTCTGCCTCCTGCTGTGTGTGGGGCAGTGGTGGTTGCTTTAGGTTAAGTCTTTTAATATACATGAATATATGAATCTAGATGAGCAATATATGAATCTAGATGAGCATCAGTGCTTTGAAGAGATGAGAAACTTAACGCTCTACTCATTTTTGCTCTCAATCTGCATGGCAACTCCTGGAAGAAAAGCGCCTATAAACCAGAGCCCAAACCCCCACTTCCCCCATGGCCCAGGGAAAAGTGGCTGACAGTGGCAGACCAAGGCTGGGCTTCTTCCTACCCACTGCTCCTGGGCGGCGGGGCAGCTAGAGTGTAAACGCCGACAGTCCCCGCCTCAGACAGCAGCACAGGCAGGCCAGGGGCAGATGCACTACGCTGGGAAAGCCTCAGCCTACAAAGGCTTCAGTAAGGATCAGGTCCCAGCTCTGCCCAGGATACACTGTATAAACTGACAGAACCACCCTTTCCTCTGGCCTAACTCTCCCCATCTCTCAGAAGCAAGGTCCTTATTCCGGTCTGTAATCCCATACGTTCATGGAAGCTCAAAGCTCTAGAATCCTAGGTGCCAAGCTGACAGCAGTGATCAGACTCCTCAGTGGTCTTCTCTCTCACCCATCCCCTTGGGCAATTAAGTGGCCCAGAGTATTATGGGAAGAGTATGGCTACTTTCTATCTGGCTGACAAATTTTCTGAGGTCTTCTGAACCTCTTCTGTGAAATGGGGATACTAGGTACTCTACAGCCCTCTATGGAACACTTAAATTTAGGTCACAGGCCTAGAAACCTGTAACAGGGACTAGAATTCCCTGAATACCTGCTCTCTTCTTACCAGGCCCTCTGGCTTGTCACGCCCATACCTCCACAATCTCTCTGATCTCACACTCCCTCTCCAGCTGCTCCAGCTTCAGCTGTGCTGTGCCAACCAGCCTGTCGCTTCTGAAGAAGGATCTGGAGAGCCAAGAGACAGCAGAGATCAGACTGGGCATGGAAGGTGCAAATGAACTAGGTGGGCCCAGGGCAGGAAAACTGAGGAGCAACAGGGACAGAAATGGCATTCTTTCCTCCCCACCCATCGTGTGACAGGAGCCTCACCCTTTGTGGAAGATTTCAAACTTGATTCCTTTGCTCTGGATCACCCTTCTGAAGCCCCGGTGGTTTCGGTTGATGTTTAGTTTGAAGACTTGATCAAATTCTGCAAAAGGGGAAAAAGGCAAGGAGAGACTTGGGTCCCAAGGATTTCTGGAGGAAGTAGACACAGAGGCTGATGAGGGGAGGCTTCCCCTCTAATCTCCCGCCTGCAATTCAGGGTGTCTGCCAGCAGGAGGAGGTAGAGCATCAAGGGCCCGGCCTTGGAAGCAGCTTGGTAGACAAAGATGTTCCCAAAATGGAAAGGACTGAGAATTTGGAGTAAGGATTCCTGGGTCCCACTCCTACCATCTTCTTGTTCTGAGCTCCCAGGCAAGTCCCTTTACCTCACCAAGCCTTAGTTTCCCCAATTACATAAGAAGAGTGTTAATAAAACCTGCCTTTATTTCCCAAAATGGGTGAATAAAATTACACTTTAGATCTGAGGGCACTCTGGAAACACCAGCACTTCTCACGGAGTGAGAAGACACAGAAAGGAGCCCTGTGTGACCCTCACCTGGGGAGTTTGTGTTCTTCACTACAGCAGTTTTGCCTTTTTGAGCCTGGTCCTAAAGAATGAGAAGGGAGAAGTCAAGGCAGCTTGAAAAGCAGAGGCACACAGAGCCAGGAATTCTGCGCTGAGCCAGTGTCTCAGGAGGAGCCCGAGGAAGCCGGTGGAAGGGTCGTCTTCAAACCCATCCCTTAAGGCAGGCCTCTCAGGGATGGAGAGACATGGAGCACCAAGTCCTGCAACAGAAGATGGCGCTCAGAGAACCCTAATTCTGCCTGATCCTCACCGAGTTAGGGTAGTGAAACTCAAACCGCACGAAAGCGTCCAGGTCATCAGGGGTCACCCCTGTGAGGAAGGAAGAGAGTTCATCAGAGGGAGTAGCCAGAAGCCAGGCGCTCAGGTGCGAGCTAAGAACCCCCTCCCGTAGGGGTGGCCCTAGTGTTACCTGGAGGGGCTGGGAGGTTCATTCCCCGGACAACGATCAGATGCATTTCTGTGCTGTTGAGTTCTGAAAAGATCCTACAGCCAAGAAGAATGAAGAGCTTGGTGTGGAGCAAGTGGCAGAACCCCATCCCCTCTTCCAGTGCCTCCTGTCCAGCCTGGTGGGCTCACAGAGGAGAAGCACACAGCTGGCACACACTACATCCTCCTCCTCACCAGCCCCAGGGCCTACGGCACCAGGAAGTCTCACTGGACCCTGGGCTCCCAAACTCTAGCCCTATCTCGCACAAAGCTGTGTTTCCCATAAGCTGTGGCACCTCACGGTCTGAAATGTCTTCAACTCGAAGTGGTGGCTGGGAGGGTCAAGGCCCTGGGCCTGGGCCAGCTGCAGGATCTCCAGCTGTTTCTTGCGGTCATGAGCAAGCTTCTCAAACCTGACAGGGGTCCGTGTTCACATCAGCAGGGCAAGGCTTGTTTTCTGCTCCCCACCCACGCTGTAGCCCCAGCCCCCGCACTCACCGAGTAGTCTCAGCCACATTGCCTTGGTGCATGAACTGCTTGGAGAACAGCAGGCACTTCTAAAAAAAGGGGCCCAGAGTGACTCCAGCGCCGGAGCAGGACTTGCCTAGGCTGGCCTTCGGGACCTGACCGGCCTGACCTCTCAGCGTGCTGACTTCCTCGGGGCCTCACCTCTCCTCCCCAACACATGCCAATGGCCCTGCTCCCAGGCCCCAACACACCTTCCCGCCTCTACTGCTGTTTCTTCTCCTGCCAGGTCATTCAAACTTCACTTAGCAAACTCCCATCCTTCCTTTAAAACCTAATTCAAACACTGTCTCAGATAAAAGACTTCTCAGAAAAACAGGCAGCAGTTCAGAAGGACACACACACAGTAGCATCTGGGTATCCTCCCCTCCCATCTCCCCTTGACTTTGTTGTTGGAACTTTGTAACTACCCTGAAAGAAAGGTATTGTCATTCCATTTTACAGATAAAGGAACTGTAGTTCAGACAGGGCAAATGCCTTGCCCAAGGTCACACAGCCAGTAAGTAAAGAACCAGAACTAGAATCCAAGGCTACCTGCTCGGAGCGCCACACCTGTCCCCACTGGGAAGGACTGAAAGAGCAGGAAGAGACAAGCCCCCTACTGACCTCATATTGCTCCAGAAGCATTTTTTGTAGCTGGGCATACACCTCCTCCGCCTTTTGGGAGAGCCGCAGGTCCTCATGGTGGATGAGAATGAAGTCGCCCTCTTCATCCGTCAAGGGTGAAGGTACCTGCCCAGGTCACAAGGCCCCTCGGGCCCCAAGAGTCAGATTGCTCCTTTACTGAGCTAACAAAGGCAGGAATCCAAACTAAATATTTTTTCAAATTCCACGACCTCCGGTGATGGGCACTCATGGCCTCCTATGTAGCCCAAGCTGCAGGAATTCTGCTCACACTGGCCTTGCCCTGCCTTGTCCTCCCTGACCAGGGGCAGCCCCCTTCTCTTCCCCGGTCACTCTCAGGCCTTAAAGGAGAGACAAGCAAGCGGCCACATCCCACCTCTTCCAAGGAGCTGCCCCACGTCACAGCCCTGCCTGTCAAGCTGCCCCTACCCCTTGCCCAGGAAGGCGCGGTGTTTTCAACAGGTGGGACTCACCTTTGAGAGGTCAACAGGTCGGCCAGCTCGGGCCTGGACAATCTGAGCCTCAAGACCTTTGGCTACCCGCAGGTGGGCTTTGGCCTGCTCCATGTCTTGTCTACGCTTGGCCTGCAGGGCTGCGCGCTGGTACTGCAGTTTCCGTGCCTCCAGCAGCGCCAGCTGCTCCCGCACTGAAGGGGCAGGGCCAGCAGTCAGGACCACGCCTTGTGCGACCCTCTGCTCCTCCACCCTGCTTATCCCCAGCTCACCAGTTGGACTCAGTGACTCTCTAGAACTTGAGGCTTTGGGTTCAGGCTGGGACAGGGATGAAGGAAGCAGAGGCTGAGCCGGCTTCTTGGCCACTGGGGCCTGTGCTGAGGGCTCACCCTGCAAATGCACAGGTGGTTGTCACGAGATTGCTCTCCACCTGCCCGGTGGCAGCGTCCCGCCTTGAACTCTTCCTAAGCCTGCACTAACCCGCGGTGTGACCTGAGTGAGTGGCTCACCCTTTTGGGTCCTACAAAATCTCAGAGCTAGGGCCGGGGATGTGGCTCAGTGACACAGCGCTTGCCTGACAAAAGGGAAGCCCTGAGTTCGATTCCCAGTACAAAAAAAAAAAACCTCAGAGCTGAAAGAAGCCTCACAGGCTCTCTGATCCAATCTCCCCAACAGGAGATAGCAGGGTAATGGGCAGGAGAATGGGCTGAACCTGGGCTCTAAATGACAAATGCAGAGCAAAAGGCAGTGTAAATCCCGGCTCTGCCCCTGGTCAAGTTTTTCCTCTAAAACTGTGGAAAGGAGACCTAACCTCACCGGGCTTGTTCACATGGAACCCAAGGGCTGGGTTTACCTCCCAGCTGCCATTTCTCCCCACCAACCCCTGCAGTCTTGGGCTCTCAACCGAACCTCATGCTCATCTTCATCTTCCAGGGCTGTATCCTCTGAAGTGGCCAGTTTTTGGGCAGCCGCCAAAGTTGCTGCCACCGAGTCCTCCTCCGGGCTCGCCGTGGGCTCCAGGCCAGGGATAGGGGGAAACCCTGTGAGAAGAGATGGAGCGCGGAGAGGATGCGGTACTCCCGGACGTGTGAGAAGGCGCCGTGGGTCCCACCTGACTGTCTAGGAGTGGCGGGGATGGGTGGCTCCCCAGGGTGGAGGCACAGACAGAAGTTCCTTCCTCCCACCCGTCTGGCTCTCCTCACAGAGCCCCAAGGTCAAGCCCCACTCACCTGGAGGGACAGGCAACTCAGCAAAGTCCACTTTCCGCCCCGCTCGGTGTGCGCGGATAGCATCCTGGTATTGCTGCATGGGAAGGAAGCGAGGGGATCCTGGTGAGCTGAGCTGGCAGGCAGGCTCGCACACCCCAACAGAGAGAAGACTGAGGAAAAGTCAGCAGCCCTGGGAGAAACAGTCTTAAGGTAGCAAGCACTCAAGAAAGTCTTAGAGAAGACCAGGGCAGCAGGAGAAGCAAGAGGCAGAGAACAGCTGACCAGGGAAAGAGGTCGGAACCCGCTCAGCCACGGGCCCACCTTGGCGATGCGCTCGTGCATCCGGGCCTTGCGCTCGTTCCCACTGGCCCGAGCCTGGGTGCCCGCCTCACGGTACTTGTTGAGCCTCTGCTGCAGGGCATCCAGCACTGTCTGTGGCCCCGCGGGAGTCACTGAAAGGGGGTAAAGGAAGGGCATCAGCTCTGCCTGTCCCTGCCCAGTTCCCACTCCACAGCCCCCCAGGCTGACCCTACCTGCGGCTGGTGGGATGTCCGAGGCCATCACTGGCTGCACTTGCTCCACTGCTGGGGGGAGGACTGAGGGTGCCCTGGGAGCCTTAGCAGCCTGTGAGGGGCTCTTCAGGTCTGGGGGCCCAAAGCAGACGTGTAGGCAGGGTGGCTGGTGGTCCCAACCCGACAACCCTCCCAGCCCAGCCTGAGCAGGCGCTCTCCAGTTCTCACACTGACCCTCAGGTGCCGGGGGCATGGCACTCAAGTCCACAGGCTGCCCCTTCTCCAGGGCTTCCAGGACAGCGCCGAATCTCTGCAGCGGTGAGAAAAGCAGGTGTGGACACAGGCTCTGAGGGCCTGGGCTGGAACAGCTCTCCCTCAGGCTGCCTCCGAGCCTCCCCTTCCCCACCTGCAAAGCAAGGGATGGGACACCGGGCCTGTGAACCCGGCGTCATACCTTCCCAATCCTCATGAGCTCGCGGGCACGGTCCAGCTCTCCAGCCCGCTTGGCGTTGAGGGCAGCCACCTTGTACTCTCTCTGTCGTGTCAACAGCAGGGCCTGAGGGTCTGGGTCTACGTCCGGAGGGGCAGCCATGCCAGGGCTGCCTGGAAGGCTGGACTCAAGGTGGGAGGTATCATCTACAGGACACAAAAAGCCCCACCGAGGGTCCCCGTCCCCTCAGGTCTTGCTGGCCTGAGGGTAAGTTGGGGAAGGTGATGAAGGCAATGGGCAGGAGCAGGCTGAGGAGGCAGGCAGAAGGCACTGGGCCTGGGACCTGGGCAGGACTTGGGTCTCCAGATACCTGGCTCCACGGCAGAAGGAGCTGGGACTTCCGCCTCAGGGCTCCCGTCGGCCGGTTCCTGGGAGGCTGGAGGCCTCTTGCCCACGGCCACTGGAGGTGGGATCTCCTCCTCTTTGATCTCCCTGCCCTTGCGCACAGCAGCTAGCTGCAGCTCCAGAGTCTGAGGGAGAGAAGCAGCCTAGAAACCTGGATAGCCATCTCAGCCTGGACTCTGCTTGAAGACAGGCCGGGGAGCCGTCACCCTGCGGGGCTGGTGGGGAGGCCTCCCCTCCACTGTGCGGACTCCTCCTGCTGTTTCCCCCAAAGCCCTCTCGCCCGCCCTCCTTCCACATCTGCCCGTCACCTTCAGGCCTCGCTCACAGCGCCTGGCTTTGGCCGCTTCACCTGCCTCCTTGGCACTGGCGGAAGCTTCCCGGTAATTGCGGATCCGCTCCTCCAGCAGAGCCTGCAGCCCCCGAGGCCCTCCAGCCTGCAGATACTTCAGCTCAGGGCTGGGCCACTCCGAGGCCAGCTAGGCCCTTGCCATTCTCTCCCTGTGAGGAAGCTGCCCCAGAAGACGGCGCTCTGGGACTCCACGAGAAAAAAGAGCCTAAAGCCCCATGGTGTGAAGCAAAGACCCACTGGGGAGGCCAGAGGCCAGGTCAGAGGCGAACACAGGCCCAGACAATCAGTGGAGGCCAAACATGGCTGCAGGGGGTGGTGTGGGAGAACAGAGAGGCCTTTGAGGCTGGCCAGCCACAGGAGTTTCTCGTGCTCAGTTTCCACTTGGGCCAGCTAGTGCAGGGAGGGACCGCAGCCTGCTGTGCACGCCTCGCTGCGTGAGTGTTAGGCACGGACACAGAGGGGCACCAAAGGCACACAGGGCCCTCCTCCAGAGCCTACCTGAGCCTCTGGGACTGATGCTGTTAGCAGGGCTGCCGGCGCTGGAGGTTCAGTGCCTTCCTGTCCCTTCTCTTCCTCACAGAGGTCTGGACCAGCTGCCTCATCGCTGTCCAGGGGCCCAGCCTCCTGATCCATACCTAGGACCTCCTGCAGCTCATTCTGGGAAGACACAAGTCCCAGTAACTTGGCTTCAGGGCCACACCCATGACAGGACCTGAGAATAAAGGTCTCCCCAGTATTATCCAAATGTCAGGACTTCTACACAGTCCCCTTTGCAAAAACTTTTCTTTAATCTGACCATGGATAGCTTTAAAAACAGTGAATACTTCAAATCTGAGAATCTCCAACTGCAGAGCTCAGACCAGACGTTGAAGGACACAAATCCCACATTGCACAGCCTGGAAGACAGACCCAGAGAGCAGGGTCCTCACTCAAAGTCAGAGACACAGAGGGACAAACCCCAACTCTCCTCTCTACCGCCCTCTCCTCCACCAGGCCACAGCCTTCGGCCACCAGCCTAGAAGACGCACCAGCAGGTCTGCATCCTCCTCCAGACCTTCCTCTTCGTCCTCTTCCTCCACATCCTGCATACAGTCTGCCGCCAACTTCTCAATGTGCGCCATGGGGAGAGGGGCTGGGGGAGCAGGGTCAGAGGTCAGGACAACTCAAGTAAAGTCCAAGACGAATAAATTGTAGATACAACCGGACAGAAATTCCCCTTCCTTCCCACAGCAAAGTCCTACCCAGGAAACTATTCTTCCTTTATGACCCAGCTCAAAAGACACCTGTCAGGGACCCCCTCCTGGGTTCTCCAACAAGTCACAAGTTGATCCCTCTCTCTGCGTTTCTAGTAGAGATTCATGAATGTATCCAACCATCCCCCAAGCACTCTTTTCATATTTGTAAAGATTTTTAGAGGCCATCTAAACTTCATAGCAGTTCTGCAATACAGGTAATATTATATTTATTTTATATAGTAAATAAATTGGGAACTAATAGTAGCAACTTTCCTAACACTGAAATCCTAGTAAGTGTCAGAATCCAGGCTCAAACCTGGGCTTATCTAAGCCCCTAAAGCAGGACCGGGCCAGTACGCCTAGTCCCTTCACTGTCCCAGCTCAAGGGCACAGGACAGGGGGAGTGTCTCTCTCTGTAGGGTCCAGCTGAGAAGTGAGGAAGGTTTACAGTTCCCACCCCTCAATTCTCCCAAGCTTAAAACCTCTGCTCTGTTCCCGCCTGTGGAGGGAAATTCCGCCTATTCGTGTGACACAACGTCTAGGCACTTACTATGTGCCTAATTGTGTCTGTCCTCCCTAGATCTATATGGTCTACCAGGCTCTGGCTAGGGCTAAGGACAGTAACTCTGACAGGTCAGTCAGAGAACCCGATGCATCCACAAGGGGGAGGTGGCTCCCATCACACAGGTACAAGCTTGACCTCTTGTGGAAAAGCTGCAGAAGGGACGGGGTATTGGAAGGACCAAGGGATCTGCCTGGCTTCTCAAGACTGCAAGGCAAGGACCCTTTCTACCATAGGCCTGCGCCTGTCTGGTCCCAGTACTAAGCCTGGCCCCAGGTCAAAAACTCACCCCGCCTCTTGGGTGCTGACTGCCTGCTCGTGGCCCCCGTTTCCCCAGTGAGGGCCAGCAGCTCAGCCTCCAGGTCTCCATCATCTTCAGTCTCATCCATCCCAAGCATCATGTCCTCAGGGCTGAACTCCACAAAGAGCCCGAGCTGAGAGAACAGAAGGTTTCTTACAGTGAGGCAGAGTAGAGCTTAGCCCCAGAGCCAGACTTGGGGTCCCAATGACCCAGTCAGGTGCTCCTTCACGTTGTAAGGACCAATGTGCAGAAAGGGAAACTGAGGCCCACAACATTACCTCCTGGGACACTCATCTCCATGGAGAATATAAAGAACCCAGTAAGACCACACTGCCATTATTACTAACAATAATAAAAGCAACAGCTGCTAGCGCTAGTCACGGTGTTCTATGTGATTAGATAATTACCATAGCCCTGAGAGGTGTTTTTTTTTTAATTGCAATAAAAGACACATAAAGTGAAATTTACCATCCTAGCCAATTTTAGTCAGGGCTCAGGGGCAATGAAGTACATTCACACTGCTGTGCTACCCGCACCTCATCCATCTGCAGAAGCCTCCGCATGGGGCCCACCTGCAACTCTGTACCCATTAGGCACTAAGCCTCCATTTCCCGTTTCCCATTTCCCCTCCCTGCACTGCCTGGTAAACATTTCTGTGCGCATTAACTTGATTATTCTACGGATCTGTCCTATTGTTTTTATGCCAATGTTCAGAACTAAGAATTTAAAATATAAACTAAAAACAGAATTGAGTCTCTGCCCTTGATTCTACCTCTTCCCTCAGCTTTTTAAAAACAATAAAAATAGACTGATACTAAGGACTTGGGCCCACAAGAAATGAAGGGAGAACTGGAAAACAGTCCTCAGCCTCCCCCTTTGGTGGCAGCCATCTGTCCCCAGGCAGCAAGGTCCTTCTGTTGGTGATGGCGCTCAAGCCGACACTCTTAGCCAGCAAGCAAAGGTTGCCCTGCATGAACCTCAGCACCGAGCTGCCGCCAGAGCATCTTCCACTCCAGAGGCTCCTGAGCCCTCCACACCACTTGTATGGAGCGGCCAAGGCCAAGGCTGGATGATGGCTCGGCTGAAACCGTAGCAGGGAGTTCAGGACTCCTCAGCCCGTGTGACAAGGTCCGGTCAGAAGATCCTAAGGGCACGGCTCAGACTCCGGACTGACGGGTAAAACCACAGAAGTCACTCAGTCTGACCTAATTTGCCCAAGTACTCTAAAGATCCCCCCTTCAAACTGTCCCAGCGGCAAAGTAGGCTATGCTCATACCTGCTTTGCAGCTGCTACACCTTGGCCCTTCCGTGGTCTTGGCCCTGGCATCCTGGTAGCCTAGGTACCTATGGGGTGGGGAGTTGCAGAGACTCAGAGTGGAGCAGACTGTGAGCCCTGCCCTAAGGAAGATGTGGTTAGTGAACCCCAATAGTGAATCACCACCACTGCTAGGCCCAGGCCACCAAAGCAAGAAACACGGAAGATGGAACGCTGGGGGCTGCCTGTTGCCATGTTGCCTGGGGAGCGAGTGTGAACCCACACTGCAATGTTACTGGTGTAACTGACCAGCGTGGAAGGTAGAGCCAGGGAGCGGCTCTAGGTACAGGGTGAGGAAAGGGCTGGATTAGGACTCGGGAAGACTTTGAACCAGTGAAGTCCGTTCTGGAAGCAATGTGTGACTGCTGAGGTTTAACTTCGAAGTAATTAAAAGTGCACACCAGACACATCTGGCGTGGCATACCCCACACAGCTCAGGTGCTCAACAGCCTTATGTGGCTTGGCCACCACAGACCCAGAACGCTTTCATCACCGCACAGGCCACACTGGAGAAACCTGACTCGGCATTCAGGTTCCCAGGCATCCCAACAGTTCCCGGGGACCTGCATGGCAGATGATGCCGGGCCGACAGCAGAAGTTACCAGACACAGCCTCAGCCGTCAAGGCACACGTACACGCTGGAGGCAGACCCAGGAACAGGCAGCTGCTGCGTGAGGGCGCTGCAGGCGCCAGGGGTTCCCAGAGGCGGCCCACCTGGCATCTCCCAGATTTAAAAAGGCTTCTTGAAGGAGGTGATGCCTGTGCTGAGTCACGAAGCCGCCAGAGGAAGGGGAATGAATCTCAAGTAGAGGGAACAACCTGACAACCTGGCTGGACAATGAAACTAGAGGCCTGGTATCACTGGGGAATAAACCAAACCGTGCGACCAGAAACGCTGCAGGCTAAGATGCAAGTGTGCGCAAGGGGCAAAACAGAAGACCCCTGCAGCCTAAAGAAACCTGGACGTCGTTCTGACAATGGGGCAAAGTGAGGGCTCGGGCGCGCGACTCTGGAACGTCAGTGTGGCTGCAGGAGGGAAGGTGCACAGGAAACAGCCGGGCATCCGGCCCCGGGGCGCGACGCGGAGGGGAGGCAGGGGACGAGAGGCACAGGTTACAGGGCTGAGATGGCACCGGGCTGGCGCTCGGAGGGCGCTCGGGAGGACTCGAGTGTCAAGTTTCAGCGACTTGGGTGGACCGCGGGGTGTCCGGGCTCAAGGGAACGATGGGGCCAGCCAGGCTGTGCAAGTCGGCGGGGCTGGACCCAGGCCCGGGCTCGGGAGAGGTGGGCAGCGGGGTCCGCAGCCGGAGGCAAAGCCGAGGCCCCCACTCCCGCGCGACGGAGCGCACCGCCCGGCCCTGCCCACGCCGCCTCCGTCTCCCCGGCCGTCCCCAGATCGCCCCATGTTGGGGAGATCCGAACCCATACCTCGCGGCGGATCCGAACCAAACCCGGGCCTTCTCCGGCCCGGCACCGCCCCGGCTTCCCGCGGCCCCCAGCGGCGGAGGCAGCGACAGGAAGCGCCCGCCCGGAGGCGGCTCGCGCCCGGCACGTGACCGCACGGCGGCGGCACGACATGCGCATGTGCGGGGCGGGGCTCTCCGACAGGTGACTCTGCGGGGGAGGTTCGCAGTGCGCAGGCGCCTTCAGGCAGGTAGCGCGAGACCGGGCGACTGTCGAGATCCGGTTCTCTTCGCCGGGGTCTTCTGCTCCCTACGCTAGTGTAGCAGGCGGGCTCCTCGCTTGCGGGCGGCGGCTCCGCCAGGTCTCCCGCCCTCGCCTCTCGCCTGGCCGGTGCCCCTGGGCGAGGGTTAGGGGCGTGCGGGCTGCCGCCCTGTGGTCCTTCCGCCCCAGGTCTCGGGGAAATGAGGTAGGGCTCGCGAATGTCCTTTCCAGGCAGCAGGGCGGGGTGAAACCTCTGGTAAAACGGGAAAAGAGCGCATGCGCTTTGGAACACACTCCGGCGAGTTCGGTGCTGGCCGGCTGGGCGGCGCCGGTCTGTGATCCCGGCAAGCTGGGAGGCTGAAGATGGCAAGTTCCACTCGGGCCCGGGAGACTTAGAGCCCCGGTCTCAGAAAACAAACAGAAAGGCTGGAGATGTCGCTCGGAGTTAAATCCCCAATACCCGGGATCTTAGCCACTGCTGTTCTACAGGATGGGCATCGTCCCAGAGGAGAGACTGAGTAACCCGTTCAGCGTCAGCAGATGGGCTCTGACCTCGCCGCTTCCAGCATAAACGTTGCCACCTCCCCTACTCCTGCCTACGCCCTAAACTTAGATTTTGGCAGTACATCCCAGATCTTCCAGTTTCTTCAGACACTGTCATCTGGCTTTTCTCTGAGTGTGTGGGTGTGAGGGTGTGGGTGTGGGTGTGTGGTACTGGAGTATTTTGGGTTAGGGTTTGGCTGTCAGTAAGTTGCCCAGGGTGGGCTCAAACTTGAGATCCTCTTGCCTCAACCTCCCAGAGTGCTAGGTGATTTGTGTTATCACACCCAGCGTTCCCATCTCTTTGTTGCTTTTGACTTCTCAGAGAGGGGATCAGCTTCATCACTTTGTTTTCGCTGTGTAGTTCCAGCTGGCCCAGAACACATTATGTAACCCAGGCTGGCCTTGAACTCACGGCAATCCTTCTGCCTCAGCCTCACAAGTGCTGGGATTATAGGTGTACGCCGAAACGCCCGGTATTGATTTTAAATTGAAGTTTCACTTCCGTATTTTTCTTACTCCTTTTAAAATTATTTTCACAGTTCTATAACAAATCTTGGGCCAGGGATATAGCTCAGCAGCACAAGCGCCTGCCTGGCAAGTGCAAGGTCCTGAGTTTGATTCCCGGTACAAAGGAAAAATCTTTAAGATAAACACGACGTACATTTTGCATTTACTAGGCTGCAGGCTCCAAATGGCAAAAATTTTTGCTTCTTGTGTATCTTCAGCAGCTAGAGCACAGCGAGGCACACAGTATGCATGCACTAGTCTATTTTGCATGTGAGTTAACACAACTACATGGACACCTACTACAAGTTAAGCACGCGTACACTGCAGTACGGTGGGTGCTACCTGAACATGTCCCACACTGCAGTACCTCCCTTTCTCAAAGGGGCGTCTGCTAGGCTGAATGTGGTGTATTCTCCTGAGTGTTTCTATTTCTACTATGCCTGTATCCTTAAGCAGTGTGTGGTATTTTTTGCAAGCTTCTGACTATGTTACTGGTCTCATATTGCATAATTCATCAATTTTTTTCTACTCAACCTTGTAATTTCATACACTTCAGTTGATTTTCACTTCTCTGTAGTATTCTATAGCATGATTACAAGTTCCTTTCCCACAGACTTGCCATTACAAAGCATGCTCTAAACACCTTGTAGCTAACTCACCTTGTACACACGTGAATTTCTCTGGATACTCCTGGGAATGGAATTCCTGGCTCATAGGATTTCTTACATTTTCCAGACTAAATATTACTAAAAGATCCCCAAAGTGCCTGCTCCCTTCAGTGGAGGATTTGGATGCTGCATCATCATGGACACGTTATCTAACAGATGTGGGGTGGTTTTGAGTTGCAGGCCTGTTTGAGATGTTTTCATTTTGGCCACTTTTCTTTGGATGAATTTTTTCTTTACCCATGCTTTTTTCTTAATTGTGTAAATCTTTAAAAATATTGCAATACAGACCTTCAGCCTATTAGGTTATAGATATTTTCACAAATACTAGATATCCTTGCTGACCTCTTTCAGAAATAGATGGAGACATTCTGACAGTGAACTCTTATTCATCATGAATCTACAAAGAGCATTCTCTATAAAACCTCAGGAAATGTAACACAATACTTTCAGTATGAATATGGTTCATGTGTATAATTTTTTGTATTTCTTAAATTTGGGATTCAGTCGATTCATATAGTACATTTAGCTTTTGTTTTTTTGAGACAGGGTCTCGCTTTGTACAGTAGCTTTTTTTTTTTGTGGTCTTTTTGAGACAGGATCTCACTAGTTTAAGCTGGTCTTGAGCTCACTTTGTAGCCCAGGCTGGTCTCGAACTTGCAACCTTCTGCCTCAGCCTCCTGAGTGCTGAGATTACAGGCATGCACCACCACGCCCACTTTGTATAGTAGTTTTTTTTTGTTTTTGTCTTTTTGAGACAGGGTCTCACTATGCAATTCAGGCTGGCCTTGAGCTCACTTTGTAGCCCAGGCCGGTCTCGAATTCACAGCAGTCTTCCTGCCTCAGCGTCCTGAGTGCTGAGATTAAAGGCATGCAGCACCTTGCCCAGCTCTGTAGGATAGTTTAGGCATGCACTACCATGCCTTGTTTATTTAGCTCCCAGGTCTATATTTTCTTTTGGTCTGGAATGGTTCTTCCATACATGCCTTGGGGGTTTGTTTGGTCTTTTTATCTTGTGATGATTTCATTAAGTGGAACAGTGGTTTTATAGAATATGTGCCCAATTTAGATTTGTCTGATAATTTTATCAGTAGAGTCAGTCCAAACATTTCCAGGTGAGATAGTTTATCAGGGCTTCACAGGAGGCTTCAGATGTGTTTGTCCTGTGTTTGGCTTATATATAAATAATAAAATTAACATGCAAAATCATACAAAAAAAACCCTGTAGAGCCAAGCACAGTAGCACATGCCTGTAATCCCAGCACTCAGTAGGCAGGATGATCACTGTTAGTTCAAGGCCAGCCTGAACTACCTAGTAAGATCCTGTCTCAAAAAACAAGACCATCTCCACCCCTCAAAAAAAAAAACCCAATGGAGACCTGTATCTAGAGATTGCCTCTTTATGAGATTCTTATATTTCTGTGCCATATGCTTCTTTTATATTTAAAGATTTGTTTCTATGATAAGTGGTATCTTTTTATGGCTCGGAGAGTAACAAAGTGTTCCCATACACACCCCTTACTTTTCTACTGTTAATTTTTACTTTAGTGTGATAGCTGGCTGTGCATCTCAGCCCCTTTCCCTGAGGGATACAGGAAGCAATCTTTGTGTTTACACACTTGGTACAAGGAAAGGCAAGGTGTGTGCATGTGTGCAAAAGTGTCAAACCAAGATTTATACCCACGTTATGCTCCATGGTAGTTTTTGCACATTTACCTGAGCATCACAGAGGGTATATTATAATATCCACATCACTCTAGGGTTTGTTTTTGTTTTGAGACAGGGTTTGACTATGTAGTGCAGGCTAGCCTTGAACTTAATTATGTAGCCTAGGCTGGCTTTGAATTCAGTGATCCTCCTGCCTCAGCCTCCCAAAGAATACAGGCATGGACTACCACATCCGGCCCTAGGATTTGTTTCTTAAAAAGTTTTCTTTGGATTCTTCTAGTAGAAGTAGACCAGTTTAGTATAATAGCACATGAAAAATCACATTTGCAAGTTTTGGAGGAGGTCAAAGTAAATCATCAGGAGCTGGGGATGTAGCTCAGTGGTAGAGCACTTGCCTAGCACACACAAAGCCGAATTCAATCCCCATCCCTGCCAAAAAAAAAGTAAATCATCAGATTACTCATGCATGGATGATGAAGAGGATCCACTACAGTAAAATACGTATTTTCATAACAAATGATGATGACTTTGACACTGGCCGAGTGAGCTAAAGTTCTTGTGACAGCGAAATAGAGCAGGAATTGACTGATACAGACACAGGGTATGCAGACCTCGATTCAGAGGATGAAGAAAACAGCATGTGAGTACTTATTTGAGTAGTCAAAATGTTGCAAAATGGTCATGCAATGCAGTGGAACGATCCAGTGTTAGAACTGGGGCTGAAAATATAGTGAGGATCTTGGCAAGGGGGAAACATACTGGACCAAATTTTTTGTTGACTCACTATATTATTCGATTTTATAAACTCAATTTTGTTTCATACTACTCAAAATTTAAGATATGTAACATGTAAAATCCTCTCATCTAGCCAGGGATGTAGCTCAGCAGCACACCATCTGTCTGGTAAGCACAGAGTCCTGAGTTTGATTCCTGGTACCAAAAAAAAAACAAAAAACCTTTCCTGGGCTTGGTGGTACATGCCTGTAATCCCAGCACTTAGGGAGGCTGAGGCAGGAGGACCGCTGTGAGTTCAAGGCCAGCCTGAACTGCATAGAGAAACCCTTCCTCAAAAAAAATTCTCTAATCTGATCCTAACCATCCAGTTCTTTTTCAAGGCAATATGTGTAACCGATTTCAGACAAATGCTCCCAGAACTATTTTATATAGATACAAATATATTGCATATATGTATTTATGTACATGATTAACATTAAATAATGGCAGGGTTAGTAACAGAAATAAATGCCAGAAGAAGGACCTTCTGTGGCACTGTGTGAATGTTTGCATTGATTATAAACTTCCCAAACTGGGAAAGAACAGACTATTTATTTAATGGAAAATTGCAAAACACAAACATATAATCATTTCCATTCAGTAAATTTTGCTACAATTTCAGGTATTTGAAAAAAAAGGAAATTTGGTTCTTTAAAAAACAGACCCAGTCTGAGAAGCTGAAAGAGTAAATAAGATCCCAAATGTACAACAGATAATGCAAAATGAGAAGAAAAAGGGAAGAGAGCTGGGGATATAGCTCAGTGGTACAAGCGCCTGCCTGGCAAGCGCAAGGTCCTCAGTTCGATTCCTGTCACCTAAGTAAATAAATAAATAAATGTATCTCTGGAAGCCACTGGCCACCACTTTGAGCACCTCTAGTAATTGTAGAGGTCAGAAGTAACTTGTATTAATCTTATGATGTCTCAATAAATTTAGTATTAAAATATTTTTCAAAAAAGGAAAGAAGGATGGGGGATGGAGAAAAGGGAAAGCAAAAAGAAAAAACATGTAAAAGAGAGTTAAGATAGTTATACTACTAATTTCTCTTTGTTCATTGAAAAGAAGGGTTTGTGTTAATATTGTTTGGACAATTAAATGCTGATATCTTATATTCTGAGTCATTTAAAGATAACAATACACAATGTATTAACCATTGTTACCCTCCTATTATCTTGTTTTGAAATAGTTTTATTTTTTTCTCTGAATAACCACAAAACAAAAAAAACACCCAGGCCCTGTGGAACCCCTTCACTCTTCCTTCAGCGCGTACAGCACGTCATCCCGGCTGACGTTGAGCCGCACCCGGAGCAGCAGGTCGTTCCTGCTGGGCTCCACGAGGAGGAGGCGGCAGGAGCCCAGGCGCGAGCACACGGCCATGGTCTCTGACATGGTGGGGTAGGGCAGCCCCTCCATTCGGCACAGGGCCACATGCTGACTGTATATCTAGACACAAAAAGCAAGGCAAAGGATACGAGGAAAGGCAGCTGTGAGTCTTAATCTGATTATTCAATTTCTTCTGCAGAAGATGGACCCTGGCTACCCAACACTCCAGAAGAAAGGAATGCCAGCCCCAGAGTCAGAAAACGGCGAGGGTGAACTGTGGTTCTGTCGTTTACCTACACATGCAACACTGGACAGCTTACTTCACTTTCATGAGCTTCAGTTTGTAAAACGTACTGCATACTGCTGAGTGTGGTGGTACACACCTGTAATCCCAGGAGTCTGGGAGGCTGAGGCAGGAGGACTGCAAGTTTGAGCCCAACATGGGTAACTTAGCAAGACCCTGTTTCTAAATCAGATTTAAAAAAAAAAAGAAGGAATGGTCCCGTGAATAAAGGAACAAAGGGAGACAGGAGGAAATCTGTTAACAGATTCCTTTCCACTGGGCAAGGCCAATCTGTAGCATACTGATCACTCTATTTTAAATATTTATGAGTCTGTCTCTCCTACCAAGATGGGGACTGTGAGAAGAACAGGATGTTAGCCATCTAGCCTGGAGTTCTCGACCAGCACCTCACACAGTCAATGGCATGGTGCAGACGTCCAGGAAATATTGACAAACTCCAAGGACGTCACTTTCCAGAAGTCTCTGACTCCGAAAGGACAATAAAGGGCAAAACAAAACCAGCAATGTTTTCTTTCCAAATTTAGTTACGTGCACACGTCTAAAATGCACAGCACTCCCATGCGCAGAGCTGCCCACTCTATGACCACCTTCTAACAGTTACCCACAGACACGGGTCCTTTTGTTTTTTTGAGTCAGGGTCCAGTATACAGTTCAGACTGGCCTTGAACTTGCCGTGATCTCCTGCCTCAACTTTTCAGAGTGCTGGGGTTACAGGCGTGCGCCACCATGCCTGGCTCCTGACACCAGTTTTAAGTCAGTTACTAAGGCCCAACCCCTGGTGACTGCTTTGACATAATTTAATGAAACTATGCTTAAAGAGCAAATTCAGATTCATCTTTGATTTTCCAAATCTGCCCTCTTTCTGAAAGCCCTGTCTTCACTATAACATAAGCTGTATGTACAGTAGGAACTGCCTTTTCCACCTCAGTCCTTGAATATCTGGTACAAAGCAGACCTTCAGTCTAACAGGCAGAGATCAATTGCTAAAGGCAGGCAGACGCCTATCCCTGCAGCCTGGTAGAACACCCACACAGCACAGTGACGACAGTTTACAATAACCTATTACATGTTTCTATAAAGAATTAGAAAAGAAGCGCTCAAAGGGTCTAAACTGACAAGGAAGCAGAAATACTAACTACCTCTGATTGGATCAGTATATGTTATATATGTATTGAAATACCTGCAATCATTATGTATAATTAAATTTTTAAAAACTTTTTAAAAATAAGTTTTGGCCTGATACTCTTTAGCAGAGTCAGGCTGCCACAAAAAAAGAGATACATTTATACACCGATTGAAGTTCCCACATATCTTAAAAATCTAGAAGATCAGACCAAAATCTAGAAGATCTGAAAAAAGGAGATCACCTGTTGGAACGTTGCTTCCTCCAGTCCAGATCGGTGGAACTCTGCAAGGATGGCTCTCAGGAAGCCCTGCTCCAGGACGGAGGAATTCCTTGCAGGAAATGAGAAGACGTGAGTTTTCATAAGAGGCTGCACTGGGGGCAGCTAGTCCTAAGGACCGAGGGCAGCTGACCTTCCCTGCGGACACGAAGGAGGGAACGGCAAGTTGCTGCTCCTTCGGCAACGTGCCGGCATGCGGTACATAGCAAGTTCCAGGGAAGAAGTCAGCAACAGCTGAGGTCTCACTTACAGAAATACTTACCTGGGTACACTTCGCAAATAATGAAGAACAGATGTATTTTCTATTAATGTAATTGCTTGCTCCCTTTCCTCAGTTGAATAAAGGTGAGGTGAGCCAGATGTTCAAGGTTCTTTGTCCACTAGAGGCAGAGCCCCTCCCCCACTGCACCTCTCAAAATTATCTCTGTGCCTTGTCTTTAATCCAGTTAGGCATTGCTAGCAGGCTGGTTTCCTGCAGTGCATCGCCAATGCTGAGGAAAACCAGTTTCTCAGTGTCTTTAGAGAAAGGAGGGACCTCTGAGAACCATTCCTGTATTATCTGACAGCTTTCCTTCCGTGCCTTCCGTCTCACACTGACACAGCAAGTGCCACTTTGGAAGTAGGGGACATGGCAACCAGCTACATCACACACGCCCACACCCTTGTTGCCAGAGCTTTGTGCAGTGGTGGGAAACTGCGGCCCGGGTGCTGCGGGGCTGCTGGTGTCACCGAAAGCTCTAGGAGGTTCTCCAGCACCGGGTTAGCAGATCACGCATGACAAGCAGCTGCTTCCTTCTTGTCCCCACAGTACTTTTACTCAACACGAGTTGAGTAAAAGAGTTAATGAGTGCCTTGTTGATCAGCTTTAGAATTCACCTGCTCTCCAAGGTTTCTGTTCCTGCCCCCTCCCTGTCCCCTGCCCCTAAAGAACTGTGTCTTTGTGAAGAAAAAAGGCTTCAGAAGGGAAGCGAGTTTCCAAAACCTCAGCAGGCTGTGAGCTCCCTGGTTTTCTAGCGAGGCTGGGGGAGAGGAGCGTCTTACTTGATGGCAGTGATGTACAAGGAGGAGAACATCTCATCCACAGCTTCCATTAAGTGGGTCATGGTGACCAGGCCAGGTGAGTCCTGCTTCTGACAGGAGAACTCACAGATCTCTGTGGCTCGCCGGCAAATATCCAGGCAGCGCCTTGCGTCCCCAGAGAGGGCAGCTACCTGCAGGAGGGAGCATTTGGTTCTGAAGGTGCCCTTGCCCTTGGAGCCCAGAAGAGCCTGGAGACTCTACTCAGCTGAAATAAATGAAAGGCAGTGCTGAGGATGGACTTGCACCCAAAGTAAGGACTTAGTCCTGCTCACAGAAGGATGGGAATAAAACCGTATCTGCCTGGGATTTTATTCTTGAGTCCAAACCTTTCTCTGTTTTTTTGGTTTTGTTTTTTTGAGACAAGGTATCATGATGTCCAGGCTCGCCTCAGATTCACTATGTCGTCCAAGCTGGCCTTGAACTCACAGTCCTCGGGCCTCAGCCTCCCTAGTGTTGGGATTACAGGTGTGCACCACCAGGCCTGGCCTTTGTCTCTGTTTTACGGAAAACTCCACACTACAAAAGATGAAAATTCTCAGTGTATTTATTGTTCAAGAAATGGAATCTCAAAAAAAGACCCTTGACCCAAGATCACAAGTTCATCATCTGGAAACAAAGGTTTCTCGTTCCTTGCTGGTGAAAGGCAGCCCCTAGAGCAGCCAGCCAGCAAGCCCAGAGGCGAAGCGGAGCAGGCTCTGTGCAGAGAGGGCTGTGCAGGCGAGGCCCGATCAGTGGCTAAGAGAACTACAGGGAAGAAGGCGGGGAGGGAAGGAAGTCACAAAGCCAGAAAACTCGGAGGAATCTGTGGCTTACACGGCTGAATCGGGACACAGTTCCTTTTCTGTTGTGCTGGGGACTGAACTGAGGGCCTTGGCTGTGCCAGGCTAGCACTGAGTTGTTTCCCCAGCCTCACCCCATAATTCTAATACCGCCCCTGCTGCTCCCTCCTGTCCATGGGCAAAGAGGCTTCTCAGCTACACTGACTCAGAAGGCCACATGCACTTGAAGTTTCCCAGAGGGACACCTGGAGTCAGTGCAGCCTGCAAGGGTCTCTCCGTACGTATTCCTCATACTTGGCAACACCTTTGCAGTTTACCTGACCATCATCACAAACTGGTGGTCTCCAAAATGGCTATTTCCTTCTAAAATTTATGCTATATTAGCTGGGCGTGGTGGGACATGCCTGTAATCCCAGCACTTGGGAGTTGAGGCAAGAGAGTTGCCATTAGTTCAAGGCCAGCCTGGGCTACATATCAAGACCTTGCCTCAAAAAAGACTTAAAAAAATATATAAAGTAAAAAGCAAACTAGGTAGGCATATATGTACACAACACACTTAAACATTAAATGTAGTCATGCCAGATATGGTGGTGCATGCTATAATCCTAGCTCAAGAGGCTGAAGCAGGAAGATCACAAGTTCAAGGCCAGTCTGGGCAACTGATAGAGGCACTGTCACAAAATAAAAACTAAACCGGGCCAGGGATATGCCTCAGTGTTAGGGCACTTCTGGGTTCAGTTCCTGTTAAAATAAACACACACACACACACAGTCATCTCTGGAAACTGGAATTATATGCAAATTTAATGTTTTGTATATGTCTGTTTTCAGAATTCAAGTTTAACCTATTCAAAACAAAAATCACTTTTCTAGTAACAAGAGAGACATACGAGTATCAATTTATATTCCTCCTTTCCACTAATGTTCCACATCCAGTTGGTAAGAGCCCCCTTACCCCTTCTCCCCGCCATTACCCACCCCACAAGATCCTCGGGTGGTAAAAAGCACAGACTTGAGCTGCTCCAGGGACCTAAGAGCAAAGGCAACAAAACACTGCAAGCAGTTTTCACCCTAAAGATATTCACAAACCTTGGTGATCTTAAGATTCTATGTCTGGGGGGAGGGAGATGTAAGAAAGAGCTAAGGCCGCTCAACGCAGAACCTAATGAGGCCCTGCAGGAACCTGGAACTCGACCAGCCTCAATAAGAGGGCAAAGGCAAAGTGACTCATCACACAGGAGGATGGCACGAGAAAATGCTTGTTTTAATCTTGGTACTAGACAGGTATTGAGGAAAAAAATAGAACAAGACAAAACTCCCTGTATTTTTGCAACCACAAGCCCTCATGTGGATTTGTAGCCCACATTTATGTTGTAACTCCTAAAATTCTCAACTGGAAAATCTCTAAAAAACATGAACTGCTGTCTGTGCCCCTAGGTAACTGCCAGAAGCAAAAACCAATTCTAAATGAACTCAACTTCAATCCAGGACTCAATTTTCAGATAAAGAACAGGAGTACATAGTAAAGGTACAATAAAAATCAAAACTCAAAAACAAAGAAAGAAGGCCACACATACGTGAGAATCAGCAGAACCAACAAAAATTGGAGACAGACCTATGAAGACTTCAGGTATCACAGCTTTTAAGATATAGAACATAAACTTTATATGTAAAGCAGTGAGAGAGTGATCAATCTTCACTGAAAAACCAAGAACCACACACAAAAAGGGAAGCAATAGGGGAGCCCTAAACAACAGTATAACTCTGAAATAAGAAAAGAGCTACAAGAAAGCCCAATCCTAAGCCAGTAGTGTAGAAGCCGAGACCAAACCTCAATTACATTGAAAACCTTCAAATATGTAGAAGTCATAGTAATGGAACCAGATATAAAAGGGGATATAAAAGAAGACAAGGAAGCCTGACTGAACATCTAAAAAAGCTGTGGAAGCCGGGCATGGTGGTGCACGCCTGTAATCCCAACAATCGGGAGGCTGAGGCAGGAGGATCACTGCAAGTTCAAGGCCAGTCTGGGGGGGGTTGGGGGCTGGGGATTTAGCTCAGCGGCAAAAGCGCCTGCCTGGCAAGCGCAAGGTCGTGAGTTCGGTTCCCGGTACCGGAGAAAAACCAAAAAAAAAAAAAACAAAACAAGGCCAGTCTGGGCTACAAAATGAGCTCAAGGGCCTGCCTGAACTATATAGCGAGATCCTGTCTCAAAAAGACACACACACACACACACACGCTGTAGAAATTAGGAAAACTTTTAAGATAGTTAACTAACTCCTTAGACCAGTTGTCAACAAACTATGACCTCCTACTTGTTTATATAAAGTTTTATTAAAACATAGGATCATTCATTTACATTTTGTTTATGGCTGCTTTTGCCATTAAAGGCAAGGGTGAAATAATTTCAACAGAGGCTCTTAGGGCCCTTTATCACCTAGCAAATAATAACCACTCAAGAGCTTACAGTTCAGCTTCAAATGCTTGAGTCAAAACACTAGGATCTCCTGCAGTTCACTCAGAGTTAACCATTTCAGAGTTCGCCAGCTTATTTATATTTTTATAAGACAGTCTCTCACTATGTTGCCCAACCAGTCTTGAACTCCTGGGCTCAAATGATCCTCTTGCCTCTGCCTCCCCAGTCACTGGGATTCTAAGCATGTCCCCAACACCAACCAGCGTTTTTCATCTCCACCCCACTCCTCAGCAGACAACCAAGATATCTGAGGAAGGTCTCCCTGAAAGCTAGACAGAGATCAAAACCAACAAAGTGCATCTTGGAGGAAAAGGAAGATAATCTCAAAAAAATACACTTGCATAAAAAATAGCATTCAGAGAAAAAAAGTAGTCTGAGAATATGTATGATAGCAGAAATGAGAAACCCTGACCACAGAGGGGTTAGAGGTAACTCTGAGGATTCCTTTCCTCAGAAACTGCAGCCTGAGTATAGGGCTGGAAGGACATCCTGTTAAGGCCCTGCGGGGGCAGATGATACAGGAACAAGTTCACTGATTGCGCAGGGACAGGCACTGCAGTGGCTCACATCTGGGCCCAGTATATACCTTAGCGCCCAACTACAGGAGAGACTGGCTGTGCTGCTGCTCCAGCCACTCAGAGTGCACCTCATTTCAGGCAAGAGGAAACTACTACACGTTTAGAATGCTTTTAAGTACTGAAATTCTTGGTGGATGTATGGTTTTCCTCTTTGAACTTGAGGCAGATACTTAGCCCGCTTTATTCCTCTAGGTTTTTAATACCTCACACCTACCCTGAAGTATGAACCCTGCCAGAGACATTTACAGACATGACCTCACGTAATTCTCACCAGGACCCAAGAGTTAACCATTTCAGTATTACTCCCATTTTTTAGAGATGAAACTGAGGCTCGGGGTAACTTTCCTATCACCTGTCACTTGCCTGCTAGGCCAGGATTCAAGCCATGGTCCTCTGACTATGCTACCCTTTCAATTACCCAAATCTGCTTGCTCCCTGAATCCATGAATGTTATTTTCTACATAAGCTCACAATACCCATGGCCTTCTAAGTAATTAGATAATAAGGCAGTTAAGGCATCTTTCCAAACTCTTTTTTGGTGCTTATTTTTAAAGGACTTCCTAAAATTCCCTTCATTCTCAGAGCTTGCTGTGCACAGCCTCACACACAGCAGGCGCTCAGCAAAGACTTGCTGACCAGCTTGTGGCTGCAGCTAGGAGCTCCCCAGCGGTGACTTACCTTCCTGGCCACCAACTGGATGGCATCATCCTCAAAGGCCTTCAAATGCTTGAGCCGAGACACTAGGATCTCCTGCAGCTGGCTGTGAGTATAGGGCTGGAAGGACATCCTGGTAAGGCCCTGAGGAGCAGATGACAGAGGAACAAGTTCACTGATTGCCCAGGTGGAAAATCATCTTCAGCCTCCCAAGCTCAAGTCTCAAATTCCACAGAAGAATTCATTCATTTCTTCCCAGGACTACTTCGGCAGCCAGCTGCTGTCATTCCTGGAAACGGCCAGTGGCATGCCACAAGGCAGTAGTTCTCCAACTACTTTTTTGTTTTAGGAACCCTTTACTCTGCCAGAATCATTTGGCATTAGATGGAAGCAGAGGTGTTCCAATTAACCCAGGGATGAGGATGTCAGAATCCACACTCTGATCACACAGCCCCAGCTCGTCATGATTGGATGTTGTGCTTCCTGCTCAACTGCCAGGCTGCGAGGGCAGAGACTGCATCGGCCTGGCTCACTGCTTTACTCCAACCACCTTACAGGTAGCAGGTGGTAAGTGCTTCATAATTTCAAAAGTAATTGGCCACGCATGGTAGCACATGCTTATAATCCCAGGACTTTGGTGGCTGAGGCCAGAAGATTGCAAGTTCAAGCCCAGCCTAGGCAATTTAGTGAAATAAAAAACTAGAAAAGGACTGGGATGTAGTTCAGTGCATAGGTGTTGAGTTTAACATCCAATATACACCCCCCGGAAAACGAAGTGAAAACAAACAGCTCTCCACAATTCTGTGCAGTTTAAAAGTGTAGAGGTAACAGAATGCCCAGACATGATATGTGCAGAAAATCATGCAGCGGCTTTCCATCCAACTTAGAAATTACATACACAGCAGAAACCATATTTCTTAATTTTCTGTTTCTATTTTTGCAGAATCCCTTGGTCCAGCTCAGAGACCTGTGCTTGAGAACTGCCTAGGACCTACCAATCGGCTCGACACCCGGTTCATCATGATCCTCTCTGGCAGATCCATGGTGTTGGCAATGGCCAGGACCACCAGGCAGGCCTCCTTGTGAGTGGGCCAGTCGAAGAGATTATACATGACGTCTTGCTTGTGAGTCCACAGAAGGTCAAGCTGCCAGGGAAGAGGAGAGACATGCTGAGTCGGTCAGGAAGACTGAGCCGGGCGGGTACAAACCCTTAACCACTGCTCTCGCTGCATGCCCTGCTCAGGTCACCCTACCAAAGCAGCAAGGAAGTCCATGAACAGGCCCACATGAATGCAGGAGGGAGCCAGCACTTCCGGCCACCCTGAATTCTCTCTGGGATGTTACAGTCAAGTACTGCCCATTTCTCTTCACCTCCAAGGGACCCCTCACCTCATCCACAAGCAGGACAGTGGTTTCCTGTGGGGACCCTCGGGAGCAGAATCGCTTTGCCAGCAGTGCTGCTGCATGGTTAGCTGTTGCCTTCTGTCCCGTCAGCTTCTGCATTGGGGGAAAAACAGCTGTGGTAAACAGGTTTAAAGTGAAATTTGTAAGAGGAAGCAACCTGGTCTGAGGATTTCAGTGTCCTGTTCTCTGTACCCCCATTCCAGTCTTACCCTTAACCTGCAAGGACAGGCAAGTACCAGGGGAGAAGACAAAAGCCGTGTGTGAAATGGAAACGGGTCACAGGTTGGCCCAGAAGGCCTGCAAAAGTCACCACTGTACCATTCTGTAACTGGATATGACCCATACTGAGGGAACAGTTAATGAACACAAAAAGAGAGACCTAAGCCCTGGCCCACCTCTCAGCCCTGATCCCTAGCTGCCACCCTGCCACCTGTGGGCCAACGGCTGTTGCCATGTTGGCAAATCCCGGCTCGCAGTCACTCATGGCCCGGCTCCTAGACCTAAGAGTCCTTGAGAGCAAGAACTCCGACCCCCTCACCCTTGCTACTGCTATGCAAAAGACAACGCCTGGTAGACTCTAAACCTGTGAAATGCACGCAAGTTACTAAATGTTCCAGCTCTGCTCACCTGCAAGATCTGCACGTAGACTTGGTGGGGCTCCGTCAACTTCATGCCGTTAACCTCAATGTATTTGAAGGGAGGAACGTCATTAGCTTGGGCTGCCTGCTGCAGACATCGTATCACTTCGTGCACAGTGGCAGTCTTTCCTGTCCCGGGGACCCCAGAGATGTACATGCACCTAGGGCAAGAAGGGGAGACCTGTAGGCAGGGTCTGTGCCAGGCACCATATGCCAGAAAGATAAGATGCCTGAAATACGCAGGAGGGGACAGAAAGGGCACGGCTGGAAGTTGGTCAGAGGAGGACCTATTTAGACAGAACCATCCCTCAAGCAAGGCTGTGCACAAAACTGCCTGCCCATCGCAGGCCAGTGCCCCCACAGCCTCCTGTGCTCAGAGGTGGAGCTGTGGGAAGGAGACTGGATCATGGGGGCGCTGTGCTCCTCAGTGCATTCGTCTGTCAGTGAGCACAGCAGCGCCGCTGGGAGGCGGTGGGGGCTGCTTGCAGAGATGGGGGCGGCGGGACCTGAAGGTGCATCTCTCTCCCCAGCTGCTGCCTTTCCTCGCTGCTTCCAGGCCGCCGCACCTGACTGTTTTCCTCCGCGGCAGGCCCGTCCACCATGCTCTGTCTGCATGGGAGCCTGCCGACCATGGACCGAAAACTTCTGAAGCCTGAGCCAAAATAAACTTCTCCACCTTTAAGGTGTAGATGTTGGGTGTTTTGTCCTAGTGATGAGACAGTAACTAAGACAGCCAGATTCCTTTTTCTGAAAGGCAGAATTCTACTCCTATAGAACTTGGCTACAAAGCTGCTTCAGGAATGGTCAGCTTCAGCAATGAGGGTATTAATCCTGCAGACATTACATACCAAGACTGGGGCCTCCTTCTCAGACCACCCCACTGGCCTCACATCACTCACCCTCCAGTTTGGTCAAGGAGTTTGCTTTCCACAAAGTTGTAGATGTCTTGGAATTCCTTCTCTCGACAAGGAAGAGACTCAGGCACAGCAGAAACATGCAGCCTGCGATGGGTGGCAATGGAAGAAATGGACTTTAGAAGCCTCAGGGCACCGTAAATGAGAGACCAGTGAAGGGCCACCTGCCATCCCGGGGAAGATGGTAGCAGTGGACTAGGTGACTCCTTCCCGAGCCTGCTGTTACCTCAGCCAGACGCTGCTTGAAAGGCTGCTCTTTCTAAACACTCATTTTACATTCCGCCCTTACTATAAACACTACTGCCTGCACATGTCCCTGTTCCCTCCCCACCCATTTCTGGTGAAGAAAGCACAGGGCCCGTGAGCAGCGCTACCTCAGCCGGGCCTCCTCTAGCACGTTGGCCGGCTCCTGGGCGGCCTGGCTTCGGCTGCGGATCTTGGCAGTGACACAATGTGGTGTTCTAGGCCTGAGCTATATTCAAAAGAAAACAGGATTCAGATGGAAAAACAAAACAAAATACCATCTAGGATGCCTCATAATAATCTGGTAAAAAGAAGCAAGATGGTGAATTCCTCTTTCTGTATAAAGTACCATGACCTCCCCCTCCCAACTCACATACTTTCTCCACTGTCCAAATCCACTCTGAAATACTCTACTTCTAATTAACATCTTGAAAGAAGAAATTTTTAAGAAACTTGAAGTACTGTACACAGAGACAGGATAGAAGACTACAGTGATCCCTCACCTACCACAGGAGTTATATTCTAGAGACCCCCTCGATAGGTGAAAATCTGAGAAATAGCAGTGTTATTTTATTATTTATATATACTTTAAGGCTGTATACACCCTTCCCACACTCCTATAAACCTTTCCTACTCTATTAACCTTTTCCACACGCTTATAAACACTTCATATGCTCTCAAACACTCTCTGTACTATTAAAACTACATAATTTTAACTATATGTAAAATTCTTTATGGGTACTGGATGTGAAGTGGACAAGGAGAGATGCTGAAGTATGGGCACAGTGCGGGAAGGCAAACAGACCGATGCTATGGTCCCTGAGCCAATCAGCGCCCAGGATAGAGAACACAGTACTGTGGTTGGTCGTCTTCCATTCCATCAGCCAATAGTGTGCCATGTACAATCTCACGTTGGCAAACTTGCGCAAGAGGTAGTGAGGTACCGCATTTCCATTGTGTACAGTATGATGAAATATACTGTATTTTATTTTGATTTAATATTATTAATGTTTGAATTAACATTTTTACATTTTTATATTGTTTTAAATTTTTTAGGCAAAAATAATTAAAATCATAAATATTATATAAGTACTTGTATACCACAAAATCCCACAATATAGTGAAAACTCTGTGATATAGGATTAGATATATTTTTTTTAAAAACCTGCGATACAGTGAAGCCAGAATAAGTGAACCACAATATAGCAAGGGATGACTGTAGTCAAAACTGGGTTTGAGTGCTAAGATCTTTTGCTAGGCCTGAAAATAGGGTCAGCCTTTGTTTGGCTCAGGACTTCCACAATCCGTGACACACTGCTCGGAGAAGCCTTGCAGGAGTGTCGCAGCCCCAGGCCAGTGCTGGGCTCAGGCCATTCTCCTTTCTGGCTGGCTGGAGCAGGCCTGCTCTTCCCCCTCCTCACAGGGATTCAGTGAGGGTCATCTTTCCACCTCTCCATCAGGCAGAAAGCACTGCCACCATGGCTGTTTGAAAAGCTTTTTATCTATTAAGAGTGAGGAAAGCAGCAAAGTAGTGAGAAAGCCTTGCTGACAAGGGATCCAGGAGCCTAGGGGACTTCTGATCTTCCTTTTCACAGAGCCGATGTGTCCCTCAGGCTACACTCTCTCCTCCTGGGTGGGAGGAAGGTGCTGCGATCAGACCAGAGCAAGGGATCTCTGCCCCCTTGAGGAATTCCAGGGAAAGACGGCCTCTGCTTCAAATATAAGCTACTCAATTCCCTCCCCTGGGTGTTTTTCTTTAACTTCAATCTAAATCCAATCTTGATATGGAAAAATGGACATCAGCTTCTAATTAAGCATTTCCCAGCTGTGTTCAGAATAACAAGTTGCTCCACCAGTTTCACTTGTTTAATCCTAACATTTCCCAAACACACCTGAACACAAGCCCATTTTTTTAATGGCTATTTAATGTTTTGCTGAAGTTCTACTAAGCAGAAAAGACATCTCTGCTTCCATCTCACTGTGACACAATTCATCACCACCTAAGCTGCACTCGCAGTTTTGTATCATGCCAGACAGCACAGCCCACAGCTGGCTCAGCCCCCATTGCGCCCCCGTGCGCTTGCCGGCAGGAAGGCAAAGACAGGGAGGTGGTTGTGTGCTTCCCTCAGGAAGCTCAGCTCTCGTGGACTGGACTCATTTTCAGTCCTCAGGTTCATTTAGGTTTGCTCCACCCTGGACAGTGTTAAGTAGGACAGATTTGTGCTCAGAACCCAGCTGTGACCAACTGTGTCACTTCAGCATTCCCAACTTTTAGACCAGAAGAGGCTGCTTCACTGGCAAAGAAACCTGAGAGAACCTTACAGCCTTCCTTGGGGTCCTGGAGGGGGTCTGGACAGATGGCCCGGAGGAAGGCGGAAGGTTCCTGGATGCGCGGCAGGGCTGTCTTCTTGGAAGGGGTAGAGTGGAAGCCTCTTCGTCCTCACTGCTGGAGTCAGAATCCTCTGCTGCTGGCAGGAATTCTTTATCCTCTTGGTCATTTTTATTATTTTCTAGAAACCTGAATGGCGAGGACACATTACTTTCTGATATTCAGGGTTCAAGTCTCATAAGAATTCCGTCAAGGCCAGTATGACTCAGAGGCATTACAGTCTCTCCTGCCACCAGTGGCTTTGTTACACTTCTTCTGAGACACTGCTAACAGGGGGGTTTAATCTTATGAAACCCCTCAAATAATGGTGTGGCTTACTATGTTATACACGAGGAATCGAGGCTTACATTAAGTGACCCTCCCACAGCTCACAGATTGAGAAGTCTAAATTCCAATTAAGGTCTATCAGAGTCAGAGTTCACTGTCTTGCTGGGAATGATCGTTGTGGGGCTGTGGGAGCATATGAGCCCAGCTCAAGCCTGGCATGGTGATGCACGTCTATAATCCCAGCACTCAGGAAGCTGAGGCAGGAGGATCTCAGTGAGTTTGAAGCCAGCCTGGGCTACAGGGTGAGTTCAAGGCCAGCCTGAACTATAGCACGTGACCCTGTCTCAAAAAGGAAAAAAAAAAAAAGCTCAGATCAGCACTTGTCCCTTTGAAATTGTAATATTTGTGTGAAACGTAATTCCAGACATGATATATAAAAACTGAATTCCAATACACAGGCAACTGTCATGACTGATACATGTGTCAACTTGTGAGGTTTAAAAGTTTAGCTAAGCCACTCAGCAGGGGGCCAGGGACCTCACTTTGTAACCATCCTCATCCTGTGCAAGAGGAGGGCACAGAGATGGTGTGAGTGCCACACCCGCCCAGGGGTGGTAGCCTGCTTACAATATAAGGAAGGAAAAGAGGCTTGCTCCCCCTGTGCTTTTGTTCTTGCTGCTTTTGCCGTCTTCTGTCACCTTTGTTGGCCCTGTGCCATGCCACTTGCCTTGGACCCAGCTGAGTACGGACTGAAACCTCCACAAACTATGAGCTAAATAAACCTTTCCCTCCCTAATTTTGGGATCAGGTATTTTGTCTCAGCAACAAGAGAAAAGTAACCAAGACAGCAACTAAGAGAAGAAATTTAGATATAACAGGTGACAGGGACGTTTTTCTGCCTGCCAGGAGCAGTCTTACCGAAGCTGCTGCCTAATCCGATTCAGCGTTAAGAGAGAACTCTTTCTGTGGGTGCGATGGGAAACAGTGGTAGCTTTATTCTGATCTTCTGGTTCCTTTTCCTCCCTGCAAGATAATTGCAAACACCTTACGGGAGCCAGTTTTGGGCACCTAGGACCCACCCACAGGCACGAGAAGATAAGTCAGGTGGTCTGACTGGCTCCTATTCTTTGTATAGCTGCTATGCAGAGTTAACCACACTTTGCTAAAACATTTATAAAAGTCTGACTCAAATTCAGAGATTAAAGTTTAGTTAAATTTCACTGAACTCAGACTCATCTCCCCCAGCTACAGACCACAATATACTAATCCCAGGCAGTTTCCTGTCTTTTTTTTTGAGACAGGGTCTCACTATGCAGTTCAGGCCAGCCGTGAGCTCACTTTGTAGCCCAGGCTGGTCTTGAACTCCTAACGATCCTCTTGCCTCAGCCTCCCAAGTGCTAGGATTACAGGCATGTGCCACCACACCCAGCCTCCTGTCTTTTTTTTTGTTTTATTTTTTTCTGGTACATCCACAAATCTGCTCTTAGGCTCAAGGTTAGCAGAAATGTTCAGAACATTCTATGTAAAGGAACTGAACCTATCAGGGCCGGCTCTAGGCAGTTTCTATTTGTGATTTCTGGCTGGTCACATTTTTATTTGTACAGCTCATTATCTATAAATATTACCTAGTGTCAGGCTGCAAAGTCTGTGCTGGATGCATTATCTGCCTTTACTATATTAGAGAATGGCTTCAATTCAAATTAAAAAAAAAAAACAACTGATTTGAAAAATGATTGTGCAAATGTGGAAAGGAGCCAGAGCACCTAATGAAATCCTGAACTCTGACAAGGTAATGTAGGTTTGGAAAATATTCTTCTACAGTACAATTCTCAAATGACAGTGGGGTACAAAGAATCCCTGAAAAGCGTTTCAAAATACAGATACCATGGCAAAGTGCTTGGCATCTGATTCACTAGGTATGGGAATAGGGCTAGAAAATCGTATTTTGAGAAAACAAAAACACCAACAAGAAAGAAAATCCGTATTTTGGAAAAGTTCCCCAGTGTGTCTGGGATATTCTGCAACCTACTACTCTTAAGTTGTTTTACTATAATTCCTTTCACATCACAGGAAGGAACTCGATTTGCTCCCCGGAACACCCTGATGTCCCTTGTCACCTCTTTCCGATGTATTCTGGTTTCAGATACACACAAGGCACCCCTGAGGCTCTCTGACCCCCCTTCATAGGGGTAAGGTTCTTCTCCTCGCTAATCCTCAGGGTTTTCACAGCTGACACTCGAGTTCTCAGGGTCATGTGACTTTCAGGTGACTCTCTCTTGTCAGCACAAACCAGTCCGAGTGCTCCAGTTTTCTCCGGGGCTTTCAGAGTTGGAGATGAGGTCCTGATTCCACCCGGCTGGGATCTCTTTGAATGTGAGGTAGTCTCTGAGGAGGTTGCTTTTCGCTTAGTTTTTCTTGGAGAATCCAAGGAAGCACATGAAGTCTGCTGGGATATCTTAGCGTCAGGTGTCTTCGGGAAGCCTAAGCCCAAGAAACATCACAAAAGACATGCAAATTCTACACCTAGCAATGTACACATTTCCAATGTAGTTATTGCTAAATTTCATCTAACAAAGTTATAAAAAGACATGAGATATACAGAGTTGAATTACTCTATCCGTAAGCTCTCCGTGCAGCTCTATTCATTTTCTCTTTCCAAAACTAATGAGTAATTTTTCTAATTAGCAGCATAGTTACTTTTATTTTTAATTTTTTTCTGTATTTCATGCTGGGGATTGAAACCAACACCTCACACATGCTACTAAGTGCTCTACCACTGAAAGCACTCCTAGCCCCTCCTTATAAATCAATTTTTTCTTGAGACAAGGTCTTACAATGTTGCCTAGGCTGGCCTTGAACTTACAGTTGTCCTGCTTCAGCCTCCCAAGTAGCTGAAATGACAGGCACGTACCATTATGTCGAGTTTTGTTTGTATGTACCATTTTGTTTGTTGTTGGTTTATTTTGAGATAGGGTCTCGCTATGTGTTTTAGGCTGGCCTTGAACTCGATATGTTAACCCAGGCTGGCTTCAAACTTGCAGCAATCCTCTTGCCTCAGCCTCCCAAGTGCTGGGATCACAGGCGTGCATCATCATGCCCAGCTAAACCAACTTTTAAGTCAGCTTCTGTGCACAAATGTGCAGCAACCACATTTCCCTGAAATAACCTACCCAAGCAGTTCTCAATCAGCTCTAACACTGCACATCCTCCATTCCAACTCAAAGACCTCTGAAGAGATCACTAGTGAAGCCACTGAGTAACTCAAGGCCTCAGTGGCTTAAGTTCTCCTTAACCCACATTAGAAGACAGATTCCTGGGGACAATCATCTGGATCCTGTAACTTGTTTCACTGTTATAGTCCCAAAGGCTCCAAGAACTCCAATCCTCCACTCATAGATAAACTGAGGTGTTGAAGAGGCAAGGTCTGTGCCAGAGGCTAGGAGGACACAAAAGCTTCAACCTCATCCACAAGACACTTTGGCTGAACTGGGATGACAACAGGCATATGCAAGAGTAAAATATGTAGCTAAAGCATTAAGGCCTAAGGATGACAGCTTCTGAAAGAGACCTTCAGTGAAAGGCAAAATTAAAAGAGGAAGAAAAGCGGGCAAATGAGAACAAAGGAGACAGCTATGAGCCTAGGTGGAGAGACAGGAAAACGTAGCATGGGGCAATTTCCTTGAGCCACACACCTGAGGGGACAGGTGCAGACAGGACTCAGAGTGTTACTGTGTGACTATATCCGAATAGCCATGGTGTCTTTATTTGTCATCACCTCAAACTAGAAGCAAACCAGATGTCCTTACAGGACAAATGGATAAGCCTTGGTAAATCTATTCAACGGGATATTACTCAGCAATAAAAAGGAACAAATCCCCAGCACATGACACTGTGCCCAATGCCACACTTACTGCCCAGCTCCAGCTTCTTCCTTGCAGTGGGGATTTGGCAAGATTTGGAGGCAGAATGTCCTGATTCACTCCTTTTGACCACATTTTCCGCTGTGTGCCAAGAAGGGCTTTCTGCATTTTCAGTCCCGGGCTTCTGGCACTTGGGGCTGTCTTTTCGTAGTTTATCAAACTCTGCAAACAGTTCTGGGGAAAGGGGTTTGAACTTCTTTTCATTCCAGGACAGTTTCACAAAGAACGTCTTCTCATTTTTCAGATCCATCGGGATCACTTCATCTGGTGCTAAAGCCACTACCTGAATTTAGGATGCATAGATACATAGGAAAAGATGTGGGCTAAACCAGCCATGGCAGACTCCATCAAAGCCTCGATTAAAAACCACTCACTCCCACATTGTATCGGGAACATTACCTTTTATTACAGTTTGTGTCTAGATGTCCCCCCCAAAGCCTCATGAAGTTCTAGGGCGTTTTCAGAGGTGGCTGAATCTAGAGTGTGTGGTGCTGGGGTAAAGGCTGTGTGATCACTAAATCAGTCCACTGATTGCTTTGGCACCGCCCTAGTCCCTAGCAGTTTGGATAAGATAAAAGGGGCGGAAAGACGCTGTTAAGGCCCTTTGTTGCTTTTGCTGTCTTCCACCGCCATGAACTGTTGCCCTCTGCGCTGAAACCAGCCAATGATGGAATGAAACCTCCACAAACTGTGAGCTCCATAAACTCTCCCCCTTTAACTCTAGGTGTCAGGTATTTTGTCTCAGCAACAAGAGAAAAGTGAGACATCTTTCCAAACTAAAGACGCACAGAGGCAGCATAGTTGTGTAGAAAAAGTGAGCATTTACTCAGCTGTAAATGGCGTGAAATGTCAATAAACTACACAGTAAATTATTCCCTTCATTTTCTTTAAAATGGTTTTGATTTAGTTAAGTTTATTGGTACAACTTAGATATATACAATGATCACATTCCTTATAGGGAATGTGTACCTGTACACGACATATCCTGATTTGTCTTTGGCATTCACAGTCCTGCTCTCTCCCACCAGCATGCTCCTGTCTAAACACCCGCTTCCCTCCACCCTTCCGAATCTAGCCATCCTGCTGCGTCAACTGCTCCATCTGCCTTTCTCTCCTTCATTAACCCAGATATAAGTACTGTGTACAGCCACACCACACTGGTCTCTGCTCCACCATTACCAACCACGTACTCCCTGTAAGACCACACTTCAACATCACCATCCGACCCCACTCTGAGAACCTGAAGAAGCCCCAGGAATAAGCCACATAGTTACTCTCCAAATCAGTGTCCCACTTCAGCCTATAAAACAGCAGCTCATTAGCTCCCGATTTATTATAAAACCCCAGAGCACAAATTTGCCTATAGCAGCTGACACTTTGTGCTAATTTGCACAAGGTGAAGCCCTCATTTAACCAAGCATATTCGGCCTCATGATGCTTTATGCCTGCCACAATCACAGCTAAATATAATTTCCCACCGAGACATATTTGCTAATTCCTGCTCATCCCTCAGGTCATAACCCAAATGTCACTTCCTCAAGGAGGCTCCTAACACACAGCTATGTGCTCTCAATAAGTATTTGTTTAGATGAAGCAAGAAGGCAGGCAGAGATAACAGCAAAGAATTAATTCCCCATGGGGCAAATCAGAGCCAGTAGTATTTCTGAGGTCATGCAGTTTAGGATGCTACAGAAGTCAGCACCAAACTAGAACCGATGAGCAAGGTACCACCTACCTGAACAGGGCCAATGATGGTCTCAACACTAATGTTGTCATCACAGGCGGGGTAGTCATACCAGAAAATCTCCTGTGGGTCAGGCTTCCGACCCAAGAAATGCTGTTTGCAAGGAGCAACTTCACAGAATCGGACAAACCACTGTACTCGTGCACGTTTCCTGAAATGAAGTTCAGAATCTACAAGGATTAGGTGGGAAGGAAAAAGTTAAGAAAGTCTGGGAATCTTATTTAGCACCTCCTATGCACCCAACTTTGTGCTAAGCCCTGAGTATGTATTATCTTTAATCTTCATAATTACCATTCAAGTCGGTGTTATGGCTGTTCCCTTTACAGGCAGAGAAATTAACTTTCAGGGACCTTGAGTGATTTGTCAGATGTCACATGACCACCCCACAGCCATCTGATTAAATGTCATACCCATGTCCCACTTTGTAATTGTGTCTGGGGCTGGGGATTTAGCTCAGCGGCAAAAGCGCCTGCCTGGCAAGCGCAAGGTCGTGAGTTCGGTTCCCGGTACCGGAGAAAAACCAAA